GGTCTGTTTCATCGTTTAGCCTTATCCGTACGTCGTGTTTTACTATCATATCCATACGACAAGGAGAACTCCGTGCCACCACTTTCCAAAGAGGAAATTTATTCGTTAATCCGATCCGTACGCTTTTCATAGCAGTCTGCCAAAATGATTTTTTGAGAAATACTGAAAGTTTCAAAGAGATCTTCGTACTAGAAGTATTCTAAAATGTGAAAAATAAAACCCCAGGGCGTACGTAGAGGGTTAAACATAATGGTAACGCAATGTATAACGTCTACCTGTCGGAGATGGCCACTATTCTCCTCGAAAAATAAATGGTTAGCTGCCTCAGAAAATCTCGTCAACCTCTTACAAAAACGTTAGAAAAAAAACTTCCCAGCTTTAGTCCTACAAAATGTTAAAATTTAACTCACCAATCTGTGAGAAAAAGTATATGATGTTCAACGCATAAAAAGGTTTGAGGGAAAAGACTTCAGGCCACTTTCCGAGCGTGTGTGACGGTTTCCGTAGAACAATACCAGACATCAAAGCAATGACTGCGGTCACCTGATAGATAGATTTTTATTTATATATGTAGTTTGACTTAGTATCATTCAAGGGTCTCCTTTTTTGCTACTTTGCTTTTTATACACTGATGTTGATAATGATGATGATGATACTGATGATGATGATAATGATGATTCGCAAAACGTCGACCATCTTATTCAAAATAATATCTGACATTAAAATTTGTCAAGTCTTCAGTATATATTTACCTTTGCAGTAGATGGTAATGATGATGATGATGATGATGATGATGATGATGATGATGATGATGATGATGATGATGATGATGATGGTGATGATGTGGTAGTGGTGATGATGATGATGATGACGATGATGATGAAAGTCGGTAGCATTTTGCCAGCTTACCTCGACAACTCTCAAGTTATTCTGCCACCTGGTCTTTCCGTTACTATCGTATTGGGCATCTTCAATCATGTCGGTGAAGAAAAAACACAACAAGGCAGCCGTTTGACCGACTGTGACCCCTAGGTAGGACAAGGATTGAGCTAGGCCACGTCTGTTGTTAAGGTAGTCCAACATGGCAACTTCTGTACCTACCTGCAGGAGACCGACTGCGCAAGCTGTTGTTTTTAGTGAGGGAACAAGACGATAGGTACGAATTACGGTTGGTTGGTGCAAGTGTGTGTTTAAAAGCGAGAAAGAGACAACAACAAAATTAAAAGGAACGTGCGTATGTGTGTGTG